CAGGGGGAAAACAAGATCACAGAACATAACTAAACACATAGAAAACGTGACAGCAATAATTATTGGCTCCCTGTTATTAAATACTTTTTGTAACCTCCTTTTGCCAAGCGAACAGCTCTGAGTTTTCTCCTATAATGCCTGATGAGTTTGGAGAACACCTGACAAGAGATCAGAGACCATTCCTCCATACCGAATCTCTCCAGATCCTCAGTTCACCCCATGCATTTTCTATAGGGTTCAGTTTAGGGGACTGGGACAGTCATGGACCCATTTTTGTGTTGATTTTGATGTTTGTTTTGGACCATTGTCCTGATGGAAGATCCATCCACGGCCCATTATAAGATTTCTAGCAGAGGCAGTCAGGTTTAGATTTTTTATCTGTTGGTATTTGCTAGAATCCATAATACCATGTATCTGAACAAGATGTCCAGGACCTCCAGCCAAAAATATAGGCCTACAACATATAAGATCCAGCAGTATATTTAACCGTAGGCATGGGGTTTGCTGCCCAAAAGCCCTTTTTTTGTTTCATCTGACCATAGAATCCGGTCCCTTTTGAAGTTCCAGTCATGTCTGACATCTGATTATGCTGGAGTTTGTTTTTGGAGGAGCGAGGAGCATTTTTCTTGAAATCCTCCCAAACAACATGTGGTGATGTAGGGGTTATTTGATATATTTTTTTAGGCTTTCTGACACTCAGTCGGTGGGCCAGTTCTCCTCTGGCCAACGAGCGAACAGTGTATGATTATGATCCAGGCAGCACTACATGTCAGAAGTCAGATTGGATCAGAGCGTTCAGAATATTAATCCAGTTCCATCTGGTTGGAAGTCGGAGTCATCATGCCGGTATAGTGACGAGATTGTTGAGGATCAGTGCCGATGGCTTTCGCGTCGATGAGGCCTTCACAGGGCTGATGAGGCTGGCACTTCAGGGATGCGTCACATGGGTCCAGGTGCAGGTCCACCATCTGATCTGGATACGGCCAGGATCCGGCTGACTTCAGTAAACAGGGAAGGGACTGGTTGACACTTCAGGACTGCGTTGTGATCGTGTCTAGGCGAAGGTCCTGCATCAGATCTGGATTCGGCCTGGATCCGGCGGACTGCGGTAAACCTCGGATAAACAGAGAGACTAATATTAGCGTAGACGCCATCCTTCTTATGATGTAACAAGTACAGGTTAGGGTATGGTACAAATTCCCCAAGTAATCTCTGCAATTCTCCATCTGTGATCCTTGGAGAGTCTTTGGCCACTCAAACTTTCCTCCTCACCGTGCATTAAGACAATATAGACACACGTCCTCTTTCTGGCAGATTCGTAACGTCTAGTTGATTGGAACTTCTTAGTTATTGCCCTGATGGTCAAAATGGGGATTTTCAATTCTTTAGCTATTTTCTTACAGACACTTTCTATTTTGTGATGCTCAACAATCTTTTGATGTACATCAGAACTCTTTGGGTTTACTCATTGTGATGGATGATTAAGGGAATTAAGGGAATTTGTTTCCTCATATTTAAACTAATTTGAAACAAAAAATCATAGCTAGACAATTTCATGTTCCTAGTCACCCGGGTGTGCTAAAAAAGGTAAATATTATTGGGAATATACTTCAGAGATATTTTATTTGTATGAAATTATAGGGGTGCCAATAATTGTGGCCAATGTGTTTTGGAGAACCCCCCCCCCCCCACACACACACACACACACACACTTTCAATTATTTTACTTCTATGAAAGGTTAGATTTTTGCTAATTTTTAAAATAAAATATCAAAAGGATAAACAATGCAGATTTATTTTTTACAGCCATTGTTGATCATATTTACCAGGGGTGCCATTCATTCTGACCACAACTGTAAGTGCTCTGGGGGTATACAACAGGGTTTAGTGAAAAACAAACCGAAATTCTTGACCTTGGCCATTGGTCTTCCCTGCATGTCTGCACAACGTGTGCGTTCATGAGTCTCGCCCAGAAAAGCACACACGTTGTGAGAAATCAAGATTAACAAAAACACAACATGAAACACAATGTCTAGAAATCTCACAAAAGTATCTGTGTACTTTCTTCACTGAGTCAAATATCCAACCAAACCAAATATCACCAGACTGGAACTCTGTTTGTCTGATGACAGTCAGAATGGCAGTTGACGGATGTGAACGCGATAACTTCTTGTTACGACAAACACAACGGATATATTCACGCCAGAGAAGAAGTTGGTTGTATTTCATGTTTTTGTTAATCTTGATTGCACTTGTGTGAATGCTGTTCTCAGTGAGTCGGAGTGAACTGCGGCACTGACTCTCGTGAACGTGCACGTCGCACAGAAGGCCAATGGCTAAGGTCATGAATTTCGTTAAATAAAACATTGAAATTGTGAATTTTTATTCCACTTGGAACACTTGGAATAAATAACACGTGTCGTAAGGGATCATTCTGTGATACATTTTTAAATAATTTTTTTTTCAAAAGCTGGTCTTTGTTCACTATCATCATATGAATAAGCACAAGCGGGACATTTTTATTGAAAATTCTCCTAGGCCTTATAGGCAGTAGGCATTAGAAAAAACGCCAGGGTAAGTCAATTATGACTTATTTTTCATTTTAGGGTGAACCATCGCTTTAAGGTTTTGGACTCTATAAAACGTACAATATAATTAAATGTTAGCAATATATATGTGGCGCTTGTCCCTTCTAAGATCCAACTATCGCATGCTAAATAGCCACACCTTGACCCCTTGGCATTGTCCAATCGATTGTTCTTTAAGATAAGAATGCCTCACCTTCCAAAAACACTTTCTGTGCTGTGACTTGCAAAGTAGCATTGACATAACTCAACTAATGGCTATTGATTATTTAATAATAAAAGGGTGTTGCCTTCTTTGACATATCCTTTACATCAGCACAAAAAAACTGTGCTTGTCGAGACATTTCATTTCGGGTTTCAAAGATCTGCAAGGAGTATAACATGTATGCGGATTAGCAGTGAAGAGATAGCTTTGAATATGACTTCTGTACTTGGAATGTTTTTAGGTATGAGGTCACGAACATCTTCACACTTAACACTGCTTGCAATATGTGCTTTAGGCGGTGTCTGTTGAAACAATGCAGGATTGTTCAGGCATGCACTTGAGAAATTACATCATATCCTGTGGCTCTCTGGTAGCCAAGTTCTCCTTTTTCTTTGGAAGGGAAACATATGGAACACAATGACAGAACACAAGCCTTTGGTTCTTTACAAACATTGAATCAACATCGCTTACTTTCTGATTAATGTAAGCTTGAGGTGATTGTGTGCGGACTATACATCAACATAGCCTTATTAATGTTTGAGGAGCTGTCAAACATATAGCTGTTATATCAATAGAGGTATATTTGACAATGAGTTTTGAAGAATGTTCAAGCATTTTGTTGTGAAGCACTTGGTGTAAGAGGGTGAAGGTTCTGCTTCAGGCAGTGGGACTAATCGTACTTCAGTGGCTAAGGTTAATCGTTTCCAGAAAGAGAAACCACAGACCTTCTGCCGTAGAAACGGCCGATGAGCTCTGATCTGATTTCAGGTGTTGTCTCTGTTGTACAGGTCGACGCTGCATGTACATAAAGGTCATGCGTTATACTGAAACTCAAACAAGATAATAACAATAGCACGTATGTTATCTTAGACCATTATGCTTTCAGATATATGTATGTCAAACAGGCAGACATGTCATGCTCATTCAGCAAAAGTCCCTTCAGATGTTTAAACCAACTGGATTTTAAATGCAACTTCCAAATAAAGTATTGGTCTCTTTTGATAAGTTGCACAAGTGTTGTAGGTTTTAAAGTGTTTTTTTGTTATTTTTTTTGTTAAACAAGGTGGTGTAAATTGCACATTCAAATGTCTAAATTCGCCTTCCACAGATCATTTGTTTTAAACTGAAAAAAAAAAAAGATCATCATCTACCAGCCCCTCTGAAAACTTTTTCCTTTATAACCCAAAGGGGAATTTTACATTGCATTACAAGCAAAATGTATAGTGATCACTGACTGTTGAGTTAAGTTCAACATCCTCTCACTTTCAACTGTTTTTATTTCCAGAAAATGTGTTAATATATCTGTATATAGTGTTATATACACAGTGTTAAGTGTGAAGATATACTTTTATTTTGAGAAACACTAATCAGTTTTGTTCACATATACTTTTTTCCCCCACAATCATTCTTTCTTTACAGAAGTTACTCTGTTCCAGCCTAACAAGTTCACACAGGCTCATGTGAACCCATTATTTTATCTGCACTTGGATTACACGCATACAATTTTTGTCAATCTATTGGTTATTCATTGATGACAGATGATATAGGCCTACTGGACATACAGAAATAATGTTGTGGTCTTGTCTAAGTAAGTCGCCATGGGTCCAGTTAAGAAAGTGGAAGGGATTCCCACAATTCAGACCTAGCCTACTTGTAAACTGAAACATGAATTGTTTGCTATTGAATTAGTCCAAGAGTTAAATTAAGAGCAATAAATTATTACTTGACTTTAACCATATGTATAGGCTAGCTTATGTAGCTACAGTGGATCAGTGTTTTTACTGAGTGGGAGTTTTCCAGTGACCTCTGACTGACTGTATGTTCAACAAACACACATTCTCAAATTTATGTGCAATTGAGCTCCAGATCAAGTCTATGTTATCAGGAGGACCATGTGTTTATAGTTAAACATTAACTATGACTTAGAATTATTAACTTTATAACCTATATGGAAATCAAATCAATAATATTATGGAATCACAATACTGTCATGAAATCTGCGTATCCTAACAACTTTCACTTTGAAACCTATCTAATTGAATTGTCTTTTGGAATAATGGAAAAAGCGCTTATTTTGAGCAGGAATAGACAATTCTCTTCACTTGCGCGCGAACACAAACAGGTTTTGCCTGTGTGTGTGCGTGCGTGTGTGTGTGTGTGTGTGTGTGTGTGTATGTTGGCCGAGATGTGTGTTTTCCTCTTCAACTCGAGTGAATGTTAGCGTCTGTCGTTCGTCATGACGGTCGTATGAAGGGATTTCAAACAGGGAATCAATGACAATTGCGATTTAAATAGGTAAGTCGACTTTAAATGCATGTGAGGAAACTTTAACGCGTCATTAGGTTTCATAATCTGTACTTTTTTTGCTTGGCAGTAAATTTGCGAAACTTGAGAGCTTCACGATTCGCGACGTCAAAATCTAACGGGGTGGCGTCGGTCCTCATGGGAAAGAAAACATGTTTGTGATTAAGTTAACAATAGTGATTTGTGTCTATATAAATACAAGAGAAAGATTTGGCATTTTACTCCCTAAATGGTGGGCTCTCTGTTGTCGCGACACACCCAGAGGTTGTTGAAGCAGATGTGAGATAGCCTACTCGATCTAGATTCATTTCAGTGGTTTACTGATAATAACGCACAGGATTATTAAAATTATACTTGGTTTAGATTATAATTTACTTTTAATATGATTTTACCCCCAGAGATTCTTTTACTTTACGTTTTAACTAAGACTACTTGAATAAGCCGATGTGGACTGAAAGAAATGGATGCGGTGTTTGATTATGCATTTCTTTTTGTTTTAATATCCATATTGTAATTCACCCTTTAGACACACAATAGGCCTATGCTTGATTTCTACTCTAAATGCGTTATTAGCCTACCACTGATCTATCCAAATGTTATAGGGCTAAATAGATCCGTGGATATTACTAATACATTATAATAATGAATAATAATAAAAAACAGTTTGTGACCATTTTAAATTATTTCTAAACATAAGACAACATTTGTTAGTGGATTAGTACTGAAATCATATCATGATATTATGACTTGTCTCACTATAATTTATGTAGGTTTAAGGTTTAAATATATGTTCTGGCTCTTTTTTTTTGCAACATTCATAGATGTTAGTATCATACATTCTTAGTGATGTCATTGGATGACAAAACATTTAAAAACTCAAAGAAAAAAAATGTTCTCCATTGAAATAGATATTGGGTTAAGTCCTACATGTTTGCATTTGCAACAGTATTTTTTGAATAGATTTTTTTTTTTTTTGCTTGTTTTTTAAAAAATATGTGCATCACAATAATCTATGAACATGTTTACTTCTCATGTAGGGTGGGGGCCAGAGTGGTTGTCCGCATGTGGAATTAATGTGCATTACCATTTTTTTCTGATGATAATTAATCTCTTAACTCCACTGGTCCAGGTGTAAATATGGCTCATCGTTCCCAGTGCTCCTCTTCCGGGGACAACCCCCTGGACCCCAACTACCTGGCCCCTCACTACCGTGAGGAATACCGAATGGCTATCGACGCCCTGGTTGACACTGACTTGGATGGCTACTATGGGTTTCTTCAGGAAGTAGATGTGGTTGATTTCTTATCCCGTTCAGAGATTGAGTATATCAGATGCCTGGTGCAAGCTCCACACCAGACCGCACAACTAGAGAGGAGATGCATGGCTGAAGATGTAGATGGCTCTTCTGACACTTACTGGCCGGTACATTCAGACCATGATGCTCCGAACCTGGACTTGGGCTGGCCACAGCAATACAGATCTGTTGGACCAACTGAGGTCACTACATTGGTGAACCCGCCTGACCCCGAGATGCCCAGTATCAAAGAGCAAGTCCGCAGGATGATCAAGACTGCACAGCAAGTGAGTTTTGCATGCTGTCCAAGTGCACTAATAATATTTTACTTATTACTGCATCACAGAAGTCTGTAAATACGACTTAGTATTACGGTAGATGTCTTACCTCATTAATCAGTGGTTTTAATTGCTTTGGTACTGTTTTCACAAGTAGGCAATACGAGGTTAGAGCAAACAGAAAACTGGTCACACTAGTTTCACAGCTGGTCTTTCATTCTAAGCTTGACAATGACAGCTATTGTGCACTTATAAGGATTGTAGTTTCTATTGACATCTTTGGTTTAAATACACAACCAAATGATCTTATTTCAATTTAGACATTTTAACTATCGGTTAATTCAGTTACAAGCGATACAAGTTTATTGTCTCAAATTGCCTAAAGGTGCTGAATATAAGAATTTGATTTTATGCCAAATTGACACAAGATCTGTATTGTATCTTCATGAAAATGTTGCGATCAATGAAGGCATGAAATGGTTGTTATTACATGCACTCTTGCCTGCAGTGATGCCGTTCACAGTATACTTCTGTACTGTACAAGTATTATGCATATTGTGCAGATTTATTTTCTTTTTAAAAATGTTCTTATGTTAAATTTGCTCTTGAGGCAGTTTGAGATTCAGATTGGGGTGATGTAATTTGGCAGTCTCTTTCATGATTGAACTTTTGCCTAATATAAAATAGACTGGGTGCCATCATTGTTGACAATGTGGTAAACCGAAGTCGTAAGTAAACATAAAAGTAGACAGTGTTGTCTGCCCTCCAACTTCATCTGATATTCACCTCTTTGTCATTTATGTCTGGTTATTCTGCCGGAAACGTGAAATGTCGACACTTTACAAGCACACATGGTAATCAAACCATTTGAATTATCTATACAATATTCAAAATAATTGAAATGAAGTCTTAGGACCCCCTTGAAAATGAGATGTTACATCTCAAGGGGCTATCCTTTCAATAAATTCAAATTTAAGTCCATTTAAAAAATGCTTAAACGTTTGAAAAAACTCCCCAGTATTTTTAAGGTTGTATTAGATTATTAATACTAAAAGTATGTTCTTTTGAAAGTTCTTGTGATTAAAAACAAACTCATTCTGACATTGCAACGCATGTTGTTGTTTTTTAACTTGATATATGATAATATATGTTTTATTTTTTGTTCTAGGTTATCGCTGTGGTGATGGATATGTTTACAGATGTTGACATCTTTGCTGATATCCTTGGTGCAGCAACACGTGGTGTGGCTGTTTATGTTCTTCTTGATGAACTGAATGCTCAACATTTTGTTTCTATGGTGAACAACTGTAGGGTGAATCTGGATGAGATAAAAGTAGGTACTTTTTTATTTGATTGTTATAAATCAGTACAAATTCATTAATATACATTTTACTTGCAGTTCATGCGGGTAAGAACTGTGTCTGGAATTACCTATTCCTGCCGCACAGGAAAGACATTTAAAGGTCAGATGATGGATCGCTTTATACTAGTAGACTGCAGAGCTGTTTTAAGTGGTAACTATAGGTAAGTGCATTTTACTGTTTAACAGTTCTCTATAAATCTATACTCTATATGTTGGGTTTTAGTGTATGTTGTGTTTAATCAAGGTGTCCATAAAAGGTGTGTTGGTTAATACAATTTCTCACTTTGTGTTGCAGCTTCATGTGGTCTTTTGAGAAGATACATCGCTGTCTTGCTCATCTGTTTCTGGGACAGCTTGTGACCACCTTTGATGAAGAGTTTCGGATTCTGTATGCCCATTCAGAGCCACTGGTTGTTGAAAATGTTTTGGCAAATATGCCACACTATGCTGGGGAACCTGAAGGCTTCTACAACACAGAAAAGACCCACATGTTTAACAGACAATATCCAACTATGGGCATGGAATGGGCCGAACGTACTGGAGAAGACCATATGAAAGTGGGTCAAAAAATGTTACCCTTTAGGACTGAATCCATCCACAGTGCAGCAGAAGCAAATCCTTCTGTTCAGAGGCACATGGACCTGCATGCTGATCAACCATATAGAGGGGACCATCAATCTATAGAGCATGGAAGGCAAAAGAGAGGACCAACTGAAATGGTTGGCTTCAAAAGGAATAGCTACGGAAATATACCTGATTATGAATACTTGCCTCCTCAAAACATTCCAATAATGAGAGGAAAACAGTACATGGAGGGAGCTGTGCTCCAGGGCAGTACATTTGCAAGGGAACCACTTATTTACCAGGGAGCTGAATTTCAATCTGGTTATGACATGTATGGGAAGCTTAGAGGCCAAGGCCACCACATTGATCAGTTTACAGGGTCTGGCTACCCTCATGAGGGAGATGAGGCTGAACCAACTGGAGCTTATGACCATGTTCAAAGATACCTGCAGTCTCAATCTGCTATGGAGGAAGGACATGGTCCAAGAAATGTATTGTCACCTGTGCAGTCCAATATTAAGAGACATAACATGGGTCAATCTTATACCTGTCAGAGCTCACCAAAACAACCAAACCTGCCAGAACAGAAACGTTTCTTTAATGTAAACCACAAACCACAGGATATGAGTCAAAAGCAAGGCATGCGGGACTGGAGGATCAGCTCATACCTTAGTGCATTTGATGATGCAGGAGAACTGGATTTAGCTGAACTTGAAGGATCCAGCACATGTGGTGATGTTCCATGTTTTACACAGGAAGCTCCTTGTGGTCCTGTGCGTCCAGAAATTAGACCAGGAAACAGAGAGTTTAACAGGATACCTTCACCTAGGGAAAATCCCTTGTTTGTCCAGATTCAGAATAATTATATTGTGCCTGACAGTTCAGTTAATCATCCAACAGACTTATCACAAATAAATATCAAAACAACACCAACATCAACTTCAGAGTCTTCTTGCACCACTGAGGGTGACAAAGTGGAGGAGACGCAGAATAGAGAACCTAAAGAGACAAACCGGATTAGTGAAGACTTCAAGAAGAAACCCAGCCGACCTTTCCAAAGGAGTTCCAGACTGAGACACTCACTGATATTCGGTTCAAATTTGGAGTTGCATACGTCAGATGAGATGAAAGATACTGTGGGAGAAAAAGATGGGGATGAAGCTTCAAAACATTCTCGTGTGTCACACATCTTGGACAAAAGGAGGACTGGTTCTCCATTTCAACCATTTCAGTGGAGCGATTTTGTAAAGTCAAAGACATTTGATAACTCTGACATAGAGTCTGCACAACCTGAGGATGAACTGAACAAATTGGGTGAAAATTCTGATTTAGATAAGGTTGAAAACTCCCAAAATCTCTGTCCTCTGCAAGAAAAAGACCAACTTCAAACAGCAGTTCCTGAAAGAAAAAGCCAAAGGGATGAATGCCCATCTAATCTATTGCAAAAGTCATCTTCTTTCATCGATATGAATGACCCTGACTGTAGACTGAGGTATTTCAAAGAGTTGGCGGCCAAACGCAAACTTGCAGCAGCAAAGGTTTCTCAGAGCAATCCAGTGAAAGCCACCCAAAAATTTGCTCTATCAGAAAAACCTTCCACTAATGACGCAGATAAAAATGCTGGACCTTTTTTCAAGACCCCAGAAACTACACTCAAGTCAAAAAATACCACTGTCCCAGCACCAGAGATCAAAGACACCTGTAAAGACACCAAATTTGAGGAATCAAGTAAAGACATCCTGCATAGAGCTACTGATGCTGAAAAAATTAGATTTAAGAAAAAACTTGCTGAAGAATCTGGCTCAACTTTAAAAAAAAATAAAAAAGACACTGACCCAACTCTTAAACCTGTTGAAGAGGTAAGAACAGTATCTATTGCTAAAAACCAGACATCCCCCATTTTAAAAATTTTTGCTCAAAAGCCTTCCTGTGTTTTGTCTGGTAAGTCCTCCGATCCTGGCATAAGTTCATCCTCAGAACCTTGCTCAAAAAACTCCCTTTCTACAGCCAGTGCTACATTGGAGGTGCAAAATCAAGTAGAATCTGTTGCATTCAATACTCCCTCAACAGAATCTGGCCTCATCCAATTTCCCTGTCCAAAAGAAACAGACCACTCCCATGCTGTTCTGACAGGGAGTTGTCTGCCTGTAAAGTTACCACAGACAAAGTGTATGTCACCATTAAGCACCACTATTGCACAGAGCTCACCCAATGTTTCTAGCAGAGATAATCTATCTCTAGATTTTAATTCAAAACCAAACCTTGCAATTGTAGATACTAGTGTACCCTCAAAACCTGACCACATATATGCAGTTCCCTTCCCAGTGAGGGAAAGTGGGCCTTCCCAAAAACCTACTTCAATGGATGGAGACTCTTCTCAACACCTTCCCACATCAGAGACAGGCTTTTTTCAGCACCTTACTGCATTGAGAGAGGAATCTTCTCAGCATCCCACTGCTACAGAAAGTGAAACTTCACAAAACGTCCCCATTAAAACAGTAGCATATGCTTTCCAACAGCCATTTGCAACAGAAAGCGAATCATCACATCATTCCACTGCAAATGAAACAGCCCCCTCCCAACAGCCTACTGAAACAGGGGAAGACTCTCAACTCCCTGCTAAAAATGGGACAGACTTTACCCAAGACTCCAATGTAGCAGAAAGTGAAATCTCCAAACAACTCCCTGTAATGGGGACAGACCCAGCAAGAAATGAACCTTCCCAACAGTACATTGCCACATGTTCAGACTCTTCCAAACACTCCCCTGCAACGAGGGCAAAATCTTCCCAAAACCCCTCTGCAGCAGAAATTGACTTTTCTCAGCAGTCCACTACATCAGTGGTAGACTCTTCTCGACACCACACTCCAAAAGAAAGTGACGTTTACTCCAAACCCACTGCAACAGGTGCAGAACCTTTCAAACAGACTACTCCATCAGCCACAGACCCTTCCCAGCAGTCCACTGATACAGTCACAGACTCTCCTGAACCACCTTCTGTAATAGAGACAGGTTCTTTTCAAAAGGCCATTGCAATGAAGACAGACACTTCTCAGCAGTCCACAGCATCAGTTGTAGATGCCATCCAACAGCCAACTTCTTCAGGGGCACACACTCTCCAGAACCACACTGCAAAAGAATGTGAACTTTCCCCAGAACCTTTCAGACAACCACCTGCATTGGGAGCAAGCTCCACTCAACAGCCTACTACAACAGTCACACACTCTTCTCAACAACTCACTGCAATAGAGACTGATTCTTCTCAAAAGCCCATTGCAATGGAGACAAACACTTCTCGGCAGTCCACAGCATCAGTGGTAGATGCCATCCAACAGCCAACTTCATCAGGGGCAGACACTCCCCAAAACCACACTGCAATAGAATTTGAACTTTCCCCAGAACCTTTCAGACAACCATCTGAATTGGGAGCAGGCTTTTATCAACATCCTACTGCAACAGAGACAGACTCTTCCCAGCAGCCCACTGCAACAGTCACAGACTCTTCCCAGCAGCCCACTGCAACAATCACAGACTCTTCCCAGCATCCCACTGCAACAGTCACAAACTCTTCCCAGCAGCCCACTACAACAGTCACAGACTCTTCCCAGCAGCCCACTGCAACAGTCACAGACTCTTCCCAGCAGCCCACTGCAACAATCACATACTCTTCCCAGCATCCCACTGCAACAGTCACAGACTCTTTCCAGCAGCCCACTGCAACAATCACAGACTCTTCCCAGCAGCCCACTGCAACAATCACAGACTCTTCCCAGCAGCCCACTGCAACAGTCACAGACTCTTCCCAGCAGCCCACTGCAACAATCACAGACTCTTCCCAGCATCCCACTGCAACAGTCACAAACTCTTCCCAGCAGCCCACTACAACAGTCACAGACTCCTCCCAGCAGCCCACTGCAACAGTCACAGACTCTTCCCAGCAGCCCACTGCAACAATCACAGACTCTTCCCAGCATCCCACTGCAACAGTCACAGACTCTTCCCAGCAGCCCACTGCAACAATCACAGACTCTTCCCAGCATCCCACTGCAACAGTCACAGACTCTTCCCAGCAGCCCACTGCAACAATCACAGACTCTTCCCAGCATCCCACTGCAACAGTCACTGACTCTTCCCAGCAGCCCACTGCAACAGTGACAGACCCTTCCCATTATCCCACTGCAACAGTCACAAACTCTTACCAGCAGCCCACTGCAACAATCACAGACTCTTCCCAGCAGCCCACTGCAACAGAGTCAGATTCTTACAAGCAGCCCACTGCAACAGTCACAGACCATTCCCAGCAGCCAACTACAACAGTCACAGACCATTCCCAGCAGCCCACTACAACAGTCACAGACTCTTCCCAACAGCCCACTGCAACAGAGTCAGACTCTTCTCATCAACCCACTGCAAATATCACAGACTCTTCCCAGCATCCCACTGCAACAGTCACAAACTCTCCCCAGCAGCCCACTACAACAGTCACAGACTCTTCTCAGCATCCCACTGCAACAGTCACAAACTCTTCCCAGCAGCCCACTGCAACAGTCACAGACCCTTCCCAGCATCCCACTGCAACAGTCACAAACTCTTCCCAGCATCCTACTACAACAGTCACAGACTCTTCCCAGCAGCCAACTACAACAGTCACAAACTCTTCCCAGCAGCCCACTACAACAGTCACAGACTCTTCTCAGCATCCCACTGCAACAGTCACAAACTCTTCCCAGCAGCCCACTGCAACAGTCACAGACCCTTCCCAGCATCCCACTGCAACAGTCACAAACTCTTCCCAGCATCCTACTACAACAGTCACAGACTCTTCCCAGCAGCCAACTACAACAGTCACAAACTCTTCCCAGCAGCCCACTACAACAGTCACAGACTCTTCCCAGCAACCCACTGCAACAGTCACAGACCCTTCCCAGCAACCCACTGCAACAGTCACAGACCCTTCCCAGCATCCCACTGCAACAGTCACAAACTCTTCCCAGCAGCCCACTACAACAGTCACAGACTCTTCCCAGCAGCCCACTGCAACAGTCACAGACCCTTCCCAGCAGCCCACTTTAACAGTCACAGACTCTTCCCAGCATCCCACTGCAACAGAGACAGACCCTTCCCAGCAGCCCACTGCAACAGTCACAGACTCTTCCCAGGATCCCACTGCAACAGAGACAGACCCTTCCGGGCAGCCCACTGCAACAGAGACAGACTCTTCCCAGCAGCCCACTGCAACAATCACAGACTCTTGCCAGCAGCCAACAGCAACAGAGACAGACCCTTCCCAGCAGCTCACTGCAACAATCACAGACTCTTCCCAGCAGCCCACTGCAACAGAGACAGACCCTTCCCAGCAGCCCACTGCAACAATCACAGACTCTTCCCAGCAGCCCACTGCAACAATCACAGACTCTTGCCAGCAGCCAACAGCAACAATCACAGACTCTTCCCAGCAGCCCACTGCAACAATCACAGACTCTTCCCAGCAGCCCACTGCAACAATCACAGACTCTTGCCAGCAGCCAACAGCAACAATCACAGACTCTTGCCAGCAGCCCACTGCAACAATCACAGACTCTTCCCAGCAGCCCACTGCAACAATCACAGACTCTTCCCAGCAGCCCACTGCAACAATCACAGACTCTTGCCAGCAGCCAACAGCAACAATCACAGACTCTTCCCAGGTGCCCACTGCAACAGAGACAGACTCTTCTCAGCAGCCCACTGCAACAATTACAGACTCTTCCCAGCAGCCCACTGGAACAATCACAGACTCTTCCCAGCAGCCCACTGCAACAGAGACAGACTCTTCTCAGCAGCCCACTGCAACAATTACAGACTCTTCCCAGCAGCCCACTGCAACAATCACAGACTCTTCCCAGCAGCCCACTGCAACAATCACAGACTCTTCCCAGCAGCCCACTGCAACAATCACAGACTCTTCCCAGCAGCCCACTGCAACAATCACAGACTCTTCTCAGCAGCCCACTGCAACAATCACAGACTCTTCTCAGCATCCCACTGCAACAGTCACAAACTCTTCCCAGCAGCCCACTGCAACAGTCACAGACCCTTCCCAGCATCCCACTGCAACAGTCACAAACTCTTCCCAGCATCCTACTACAACAGTCACAGACTCTTCCCAGCAGCCAACTACAACAGTCACAAACTCTTCCCAGCAGCCCACTACAACAGTCACAGACTCTTCTCAGCATCCCACTGCAACAGTCACAAACTCTTCCCAGCAGCCCACTGCAACAGTCACAGACCCTTCCCAGCATCCCACTGCAACAGTCACAAACTCTTCCCAGCATCCTACTACAACAGTCACAGACTCTTCCCAGCAGCCAACTACAACAGTCACAAACTCTTCCCAGCAGCCCACTACAACAGTCACAGACTCTTCCCAGCAACCCACTGCAACAGTCACAGACCCTTCCCAGCAACCCACTGCAACAGTCACAGACCCTTCCCAGCATCCCACTGCAACAGTCACAAACTCTTCCCAGCAGCCCACTACAACAGTCACAGACTCTTCCCAGCAGCCCACTGCAACAGTCACAGACCCTTCCCAGCAGCCCACTTTAACAGTCACAGACTCTTCCCAGCATCCCACTGCAACAGAGACAGACCCTTCCCAGCAGCCCACTGCAACAGTCACAGACTCTTCCCAGGATCCCACTGCAACAGAGACAGACCCTTCCGGGCAGCCCACTGCAACAGAGACAGACTCTTCCCAGCAGCCCACTGCAACAATCACAGACTCTTGCCAGCAGCCAACAGCAACAGAGACAGACCCTTCCCAGCAGCTCACTGCAACAATCACAGACTCTTCCCAGCAGCCCACTGCAACAGAGACAGACCCTTCCCAGCAGCCCACTGCAACAATCACAGACTCTTCCCAGCAGCCCACTGCAACAATCACAGACTCTTGCCAGCAGCCAACAGCAACAATCACAGACTCTTCCCAGCAGCCCACTGCAACAATCACAGACTCTTCCCAGCAGCCCACTGCAACAATCACAGACTCTTGCCAGCAGCCAACAGCAACAATCACAGACTCTTGCCAGCAGCCCACTGCAACAATCACAGACTCTTCCCAGCAGCCCACTGCAACAATCACAGACTCTTCCCAGCAGCCCACTGCAACAATCACAGACTCTTGCCAGCAGCCAACAGCAACAATCACAGACTCTTCCCAGGTGCCCACTGCAACAGAGACAGACTCTTCTCAGCAGCCCACTGCAACAATTACAGACTCTTCCCAGCAGCCCACTGGAACAATCACAGACTCTTCCCAGCAGCCCACTGCAACAGAGACAGACTCTTCTCAGCAGCCCACTGCAACAATTACAGACTCTTCCCAGCAGCCCACTGCAACAATCACAGACTCTTCCCAGCAGCCCACTGCAACAATCACAGACTCTTCCCAGCAGCCCACTGCAACAATCACAGACTCTTCCCAGCAGCCCACTGCAACAATCACAGACTCTTCTCAGCAGCCCACTGCAACAATCACAGACTCTTCCCAGCAGCCCACTGCAACAATCACAGACTCTTCCCAGCAGCCCACTGCAACAATCACAGACTCTTGCCAGCAGCCCACTGCAACAATCACAGACTCTTCCCAGCAGCCCACTGCAACAATCACAGACTCTTCCCAGCAGCCCACTGCAACAATCACAGACTCTTCCCAGCAGCCCACTGCAACAATCACAGACTCTTCCCAGGTGCCCACTGCAACAATCACAGACTCTTGCCAGCAGCCCACTACAACAGAGACAGATTCTTCCCAGAAGACCACCACAACAGCCACAGACTCTTTGCATCAACCCCTTGCAAAAGAGAATGATTTGTCCAAGCAGCTCACTGTAACCGAAAGTGAATCATCTCAAAACTCCACTAAAATGACGGTAGACACTTCTAAACATCCTATTGAAACAGAAAATGAATCCCTTCAATACATTACTGCAAAAGAGTCTTACTGTGTGAATGAGAAAAAGAAAAAAGATGATAATTTATCCAAAGCCTTCAGCAAACCCATTCCAGATGCTAACAGTACTCAGGCAGACAATAGCATATCTCAAATTACAGTCATTATAGACTCAAGTTCCACAACTGAGCTTTCCCAAACTGATACTGTTCCACCTTGTGATAGCCAAGTGGAACTAAACCAAACACAAGCATGGACCAAACCATGTATAACTCCTATGGTAAAAGACACAGACAGTGATGCTTTAACTAGTCTCAATTCAGTGGAGGTGAGCTCAACTCAGCCTCAAGATTCACCAGAGCTTTGCCTGTACTCAAATGAGATTAACTCAACTCAGAGAATCACACAATTAAAATCTAGCATATCATCAAACCCAATGGAATCTAGTTGTCTAAATGACCAAAAACTAGATGAGTGCCAAAAGAATGAGACCATTACAGATCAATCTCAGAGGCATGACACTTCAGCTATAGCTGAAGGGCCCAAGATAACTCAGACAGAGGTTTCTACAACCCTAGACCCTAAACAAACAACAACAGAGGTGGAAAACTCTGTGACTAACTTTGCAGAGGTGTCAGAAAAATCAGATTTGACTGTACACAGTAATTCAGAAAATCAGTCTTCTGTTGCAAAGAATCCAAAATCAATCATGTCCGCCCATCAGTTATCTACTGCAAATGTTATCTCGTGCAGCAACCTTAGAGATGACACTAAAGTTCTTTTGGAGCAAATTTCAGCAAAGAACCAAAGGAGATCATCCCAGTCCAAGCAGACTCTTGCTGCACCCAATGAAGCCAAAGAGGGCGAGGTTAGCTCTGCAGATAAACTGTTCTCAAATTATCCGGGAAGGCACTGGTCCTCCAAGACTACACCAGAAGAACGGGACATCTTAATACAGAAGATGGAGAAAATGAGGAAAGAGAGGAAAGTCTACAGCCGTTTTGAGGTACATTGTAGAATTTGTTCATAAAAATTCAACATTTTCAGTCATATTGTTTGTGTTTGTGAGTGTGGCTGTGTGTATGCACTTTTATTTTTAAATTGTTCTGAAAATATTCTATAGGTTCAGTGTTGTTACAATATCCAAAAGAGTCGTGTTTTAAATGTACATTTACTTGTATTACTCAGGCATTTGTATTTGGTGTTTTTTCACAGGCCTCATAATTTAAACCATTGAAAGAGTGGCTCCAGTAAAGGAACAATACGAGGGATAGCGATTTTGTTGTCTTACCTCAAAACTGTGAACTTGCACTGATTATACCAAAGATTGCTGCCTATATTGAGAGGATGGAAATCCCTGCAAGACTTAACAGATGAACTGCCTGACAAAAAATAGGAACACAACCCTTACCAGCTGGAATAAGCTTTCGATAGAGCAGGTATTGTGTGTGTCTATATATATAGCTGTGAAACGTATTTCTGAATCTTTTGTAATTATCGGATTTCTGTATCCAGAAATTGTGATCTATAAGAGTTGTTGGTAACGCTTCCTTTTACAGTACAGTACTTACGTGTACTTACAGTGTACTTACCTAGAAAGTACTGGCAAATATAAGGTAAGTACATGGGTTAGGGTTAGGTTTAGGGGTAGGTTCAGGGTTAGTACCTAGTTATTACCCAGTAATTATAATTACTATAATAAGTACATAGTAAGTACATGGGTAACAGGACTGTAAAAGGAAGCGTTACCGAGTTGTTTACCAAACAGTAAGTTGCGTGTTATTGCCAGGAGCAAGAAGCAGGTTTTTTGAATGTCTTCAAGATCTTTCTAATACTGCTCCAACATGTTAACAGACTAGTGTTCTTGTTTCAATACAGCATGAAACTTTTCTCCAAGTATTGTTTTTTTCTTTTCTTCATTTAATACAATTATCTTGTGCCCAGATGTTTGTGGTATTAAAAACAAACATTGAAAGAACTTTATAGTGGATCTGTAACTGGGCACACATTTTTCTATGTAGTTTACTTGAATTAATTTGTAAGTCGCTTTGGATAAAACTGTTTGCTAAATGATTAAATGTAAATGTAAATAGAAAACATGGAACAAAGTGGAGCTGGAGTGGAATGATCACAGGATGCTTTGAACAGGGAAAGGGGAAATTGTTCATTCACATACTCTGGCCAGAGAACAGGAAAGGATGTTCCACTGCTTCCAATGCTTAAGTGTTTACTTGTCCATTTTTAAAGATGTAAAATACGTTATGTTGGTTTATGTTGATGCACAATGGAAACTCCTAAAGCACATGAGTCCAGGTAACATATTGTTAAGAATGAATACAACAGTTTCTCAGTAACACAAATCGCTAAAGTAAAAATTGAGGAAAAAAGTTCTTGTGCAGTTAGATGAAATGTGCAATATTGTGAGTTTTGCTTGAGATATTGATATTGATTTGTTTAAATTGTAAAATCTGTTTGTCAACAACTGTCAATGTAGTGAGACTGCCTCTGTTTTTGATGGAGGATCCCATCAGTGTGTAGAGAACCAATAATGTCTGTTACATGTTGCCACCCGTTTCAAAGGTTGTGTGTTTGAATCATGTTTAAAACAAAGTAAGGTCTACACTGACATGATAATAAAATAAAACTAGGACACAAGACATGTTCTTCAAATATCATAATGCCCTTTTGTGTTTTGTGTCCTCTATTCGGCAGAAACGGTAAGGGATTTATCACACAGACAGAAAAATATGTTTATTAATCTTCTGATGAAAGGAAAATGAACACAATGTTTTTTGTTTTAATGTGTAATCATTCCCCTTTAATACTATTATAGTAGGCTATTTTCAGTAGGAACAAACAGATAGTTGACCCAAAAGTCATAATTTACTTGCTCTCATGTCATTCCAAACCTGTATGACTTTCTTTCCTCTATGAAACACAAAAGAAGATGCCTCTCTTTTTATCTCTCTTTTGCTTTTGCCCATGCAATTTTATTAGTCAGCAGCGGCCAGAGTTGTTTTATTCCACTATTCCTTCAAGTCAAATAATATGCCAGTGAAGGAGAATATAGACCATAGTACATCATGGAAAAAAACTTTGTGTTGAATATCACTTTTGCTTTGAGTTTTGGAGTGGGCTTACTTAACTTTGTGACATCACTGATCTATAATTAGCTTCTTAGGCCGTTTGAGTCATTCTCCAAAATATGTGAGCCATGCAGTTAAGCTTAAATTCGACTTTACAAAACCAAATAACAGAGCATACTTTTTTAGCCCATGATAATTGTACTTTGGGTGAAAGAAAAAAAAAAGTGTTATGTCACCAGAAAAACACAGAGCCCTTTGTGAAGATTTGCACTTTTATAACACCATGTCAAAATAGCTTGTCAGTTTAGGCTAATCTCTCAATATAAGCTTTTCTTCTCATAAATCTGAATTAGTTCCCCAGGCTTTTCCTAGTCTTTTGCAGCTCATATAACAGTAGAGAACTCGGTTGACGGTGATGAAATTTGTATTTCAGCAACACACTATATGACTGCAGACATGACTGGCATTTTGAAGAAATTTTACCACATTGTTGCTTTCAGCTGGTATGCCTTTGTTATTCAGTCTATTTATGCAAAAGGTGATTCAGAACTGCCACCTGGGATCTTTGTCTATGGCGGACCCTGGAAATACCTAACATTTTTAAACCTGGTAAGTTTACTTTACATCAACATTTTGGACAGTACTGGAGGTTGCTTGTAAATGTGGTTAACGTTCATTTCTCAGGTCTTACAGATGGTGTTTTTTGGAATGGCATCTGTGAATGACCTTCAGCCTGTGGGGAAGGGCTCAAAAATATCATTTCTCTGCCTCTGCAAGGATTTGCTCTTTTCCGTCTTTGTGTTTCCAGTGGGAATGGTGAGTGTGACTTTTGGAAACTTTTTAACGTGCTGTTGTATGAGAACTGAACTGAGCTGGACAATGACATTTTTTTAAATCTTTTTTTTGCAGAACTGCTTTAGATGTAATGAACTAATTTAATAATTGATTATCTTTACAACGGAACTGAATCAACACTGAACTGACTGTTGCTAATGCATAATTGTCCTGTTATTACTGTAAAGCTGCTTTGAAACAATCTGTATTGCGCTATATATATTGCCTAAATAAAGGTGATTCGACTTGACCTATAGAAAACAGGCAAACGATGTCATAGAACAAAACTGACGTTCTATATAGTATGTGGTCTTTTATTTGATGTGCTTCACTTGGTGAGAGTGAGTTGTGCTCAGTCATCTAGAGTTTTTATAGTGCTGCAATTTAATATTTGTGATTGTCAGGACCATTCTATTTTTTCTTCAGATTTAAAACAATATATAGACCAAACCATAAATGATAGCTAGCTAGCTAGCTAGCTAGCTAGCTAGCTAGATAGATAGATAGATAGATAGATAGATAGATAGATAGATAGATAGATAGATAGATAGATAGATAGATAGATAGATAGATAGATAGTGAATGTGCACCATCTACTGGTGATTAATGTTAAATGCCTTAAAGCTTTAAGTATTAAATAATCACATTACAAGTGAATCATTACAAAATCTGTGTGCCTTAATTGTTTTGTTATTTTTAATGGGTTTTTAATGTTTGTCTTAAGTTTGTAGTTCTGCTGTTTTGGCTGATTTTTGCCTATGACCGACAGCTAGTCTATCCAGCTTCAATTGACAGCTTCTTCCCTCAATGGTTGAATCATTCTATGGTTTGTTCTCTATTCCTTCGGGTTAACTTTTTAAAATATATGTCAATTCAATAATCTGAATTCACAACTAAATAGATCTTTGGATCAATGAACTGTCTAATACTAGTCACTTTGTATGTTTGATTTTCAGCACACTCTTGTTCTCCCAATCTTGTTTGGTGAGATCCTGTTGGAGCCACATATCTACCCGAAAACTAGAAATGGTTTAGCAGCTTTGGGATTTGTTGGTCTCGCTTACTTGGGATGGTGAGAATGTCTTGTGTTTGTTTTAGGGATATACTGATGATTTGAAAACAGATTATGTTGGTGACTCCGCTAGAAATGAAACTTGATTTGCTCATGGTTTAGACACAAGATTAATATATATATATATATATATATATATATATATATATATATTTCTTTTTCAGGATTGTTTGGGTGTATCTAACAGTGGGAATCTGGGTTTACCCTATACTGGGGCTGTTCAGCAGCTCAGGATTGACCGTCTTCTTCTTTCATAACATGCTTGTTGTGTCGTTGCTGTTCTTACTGGGGCAAACTCTGAACAATAAAGTTTGGGGTAAGAAAAGAGTTTTATTTTCATTATAGATTTTCATCTATTGGAATATTTGTGAGCAATATTGATGCTAAATACTTCACCAATACCAATATACCTAATAGTCACTTTTACTCTCACAGGGAAAGAACTTCCAAAACGTACAAGAACATGATGAGTCAGAAGGAAGTGTTTATCAAAACTAAAACATGACACTTGATTCCTTATAAACTTGTTCCTTGTTTCAGGCCTATGAATCTCTGGTATGAACCAGCTCCAAGTGGTTTGAATGATGTCTGCAGTTGCATTATCAGTTTTGTATATTTTATGACCATTCATTTTCTGCTAATGCAAATTTGACACTATAGTGTGCATCTGTGATATATGTCATACACATCTCTGGGAACTTGCCACTGGTAAAAATAATAAAGCTGGTGTCATAATCAAACATTTATGGAGCAAGTTATTTAAAATCAAAAACTGTGTGAAAATCTTTGTTGCAACTTTCAGAACAATTTGCAAAAATACAGCTCAACATGACTTTGTATAGCTTTATATCTAAACTAAATCTGTTTTTCATTCTAAACTAATTTTGGGTGACAATGGCAAATATGTTCTGGACATTTCACATAAGAATATTTTTAAAGGGATAGTTCAACCAAAAATGAAAATTCTGTCACCACTTGCTCACCCTCATGTTGTTCCAATCCTGTATGAATTTCTTTCTCTTGAACAAAAAAGAAGATATTTTGAAGAATATTGGTAATCAAACAGTTGACAGGCGACATTTTTTTCCGGGACGGCCACTTATTTAAAATTGGAATTTCTCTGAAATAAAAAATCTTTGTAGACTTTTGGGATATTGTAAGTACACAACTGCAGGAAATATATCACACTGTGCAAGTGATTTTTGTATATTTTATTACAAAATTCTTACATATTGTACCTTTAACTAAAAAAAGTTGGTTTAGGGTTTACCCTTTAATGAAATGTATTTTGAAAATATTTTGCATAACTGTAACTAAAACAGGTATGCAACATTTATTTTTATTCAGTTTGCACATTTTCGAGTTGTGAAAAAATAATCAAAAAATGTATTTCTGGTTAAACCGTATACCTGAAAAGGTAGATTTTTGCTATGTTATTGCACTACATGCATGTTCAACATGTTGACCTCCAGTGTGAGGTAGTAATTTATTTTTATTCAGTTTGCACATTTTCGAGTTGTGAAAAAATAATATAAAAATGT